GTTTGAGCACCGGCACAGTTTCAAAAGTACCGATTTGGCACCGGTATCGGATAAAACCTAAACGATACCCATCCCTACTTATGACATTGCTTCAGTTCAACCGCTTTGCTCTTACTTTAATAGCTTACAAAAACTCTAAACAACATCTTGATTGCACATAACCTATTACATTAAAGGTAACATTAACAAAACTCGTGCCACTGTCAGCCGGGTATTAATTAATACAGACAAAATGATGATCTGTCTTCGTAAGGCCATATTGTAAAACCCACGTTATTAACAAACCTTCATCTTGTGTTTTGCGCTAGTTTCCTGTTTCAAAATAAAACCAAAGTAGTTCCAAAACAATTCAATTCAGTAAAACTTTATTGATCCTGAAGGTTGACCCCGAAGGAAATTGGCCTATATAAATATACATGTCCTTATGTCTGGCCAAATTAGGTCATTTACACAAATGCTTCGCTTCTGTTTACTTAAATTTGATCATTTAACAGACTGCTTCTGATTTCATGGATAAAATGAATTTAAATATGAGCAAAAGAAATATGACAAAATGTATTAACTGTGTTCCAGCTGGAGAAGGAGCTAACACAGGAGAGGCTGAATGAATGGACCGACAGGAAAAACATGAGCACCCATTCAGAAGTTGTCCTTCACCTGCCAAAGTTCAAGCTGGAGGAAGACTACGAACTGAATGATCCTCTGGCTAAACTGGGTATGAAGGACGTGTTCTGTGCAGGAAGGGCTGACCTGTCTGGCATGAACGGTGAACCTGGGCTCTTCCTGTCTACGATGGCCCACAAGGTCTTTGCAGAGGTGAACGAGGAGGGCACAGAGGCCACTGCAGCCACAGGTGCTATGATCAAGCTGGAGAGTTTTATACCGGACACACACTTCACAGCAGATCACCCCTTCCTCTTCTTCATCAGATATAATGAGACCAAGTCCATCCTGTTCTTTGGCAGATTCTCATCTCCTGAGTAGACAGAAGCAGCAGAGGAAGATGATGTTGCAATATAAATGAAAATTAAAAAAATCTCTGAAATGAAGTAAATGGAGTGTTGTGATGTTTTGCTAATTATGAAACTTTATTTTTCATTTAAAAAAAAAAAAAATGGGGGTGGGGTGTTGGGGTTTTGTTTGTTTTAAATAGATGGTATTTGTACAAGCACGAGATCTAGCAGCTTTGAGAACATGGATACTGTGTTGTGCAGCTATTATGAGTAGCCAGATTCCAATATCAGACAAATCTCGCAGCTGCTCTCATCACATGTTTACAGACTGTTGTTAAAAGAAGTGGGAATGCTACAAAGTAGCAAACACGACTCTGTGCCAACTTCGAGATATGTTGCCATCATATTTAAAAGGCCCTTTTTGCTTAAAATTAAATCAATTTTTCTCAGTTAACACATCTCGTATGTTTTTCGTTTCACTAAGAATAAAATATGGTGACCTCATTGCAGTTGTTTACACTTTACATAGTCGCTCAAGATTTAGTTTTGAACTTGCCATTTTAAATTAACCACAGGTTTTAACACCATTTCTCTTGATCTGTTTCACAACAGAGCCCCACAGACTTCGCTGATATCTTATTAACTGAACTGCTTTTGCTTTTCAGTATCAACTTTTCTCAAATGATACTCAGGCCTGCATGGACGCAGGTATAAATGACATCATCAGTTACCTGTGGTGGGACCTGATCGGTCCTTAAAGACACGCTTTGAAAGGCAATGATGCATTTTCAAATGCCATCAACTTATCTCTTTTGCTTCATATGCTTTTAAAACATCTTACAGTTCACATGACACAATGTTTTCAAAAATGAAATGCTACCACTGACAAGTTCAATGTTGAAACTTTGTAAATTGAATGTTATATATGAGTCATTGTATGAAATATGTATGTATAATAATTCCCCTCCGTGGATCGCTACCATATTGATGGAGGAGTTTGTGTGTCCCAAGGACCCCAGGGGCTATGTTGTGGGGGGCTTTTGCCCATGGCAAATTGATCCTAGGTGACGGCCCAGACAAAGAGCAGTTTAAAAGCCCCTATCAGTAGAGGATCCAGGGAACATTTCACCCTGCCTGGGATAGGGTTACTGGGGCCCTGCCCTGGAGCCAGGTCCAGGTGGGGTGTCCGAGAGCAAGCACCTCGAGGCCAGGCCTTAGTCCAAAAAAGGGACATGGGCCTACCTGTAGGGAAGTCCCTGTTGTCTGCGGCTATATACCAAATGATAGGTCAGAGTACTGGGCCTTCTTGGACTCGGTCATCTTACTGGGAGACTTCAAAGCTCATGTGGGCACGGATAGTGATAACTGGAGACGTGCGATTGGGAGGAACGGCCTGCCAGATCTGAACTGGAGTGATGTTCAAACATGGTGTTAGTTATGAACAAACTGTGGTTTGCACAGAAGGGTGTCCATGAGTGCACGCGGCACCAGGACACCCCAGGCTGCAGGTCAGTTTTGTAATTGTATCATCAGATCTGCGGCCACATGTTCTGGACACTTGGGCAAACTCAGGTGTTGAGCTGTCAAATGATCACCACCAGGCTTTGAGCTGAATCAGGTGGTGGGGGAGGATGCTGGACAAACCTGGAGTGCCTAAACGTAAAGTAAGGGTGTGCTGGGAATGCCTGGCAGAGACCCCCATCTGCAAGATCTTCTGCTCCCACCTCCGGCAGAGCTCTAACAGCATTCCAAGGGAGACTGGGGTCATTCTGTCTGAATGAACCATGTTCAGCATCTCCATTGCTGAAGCTGCTTCAACCCCTGAACCAGATGGTGGACACCGGAGGTGAAGGGAACCATCGGGCTCTAGAAGAAGTCCTATTGAGCTTAGTCAGCCTGTGGTACTTCGACGGCAGCTGATGGGTACCTTCAGGCCAAGCGGAACACAGCTCGGACAGTGGCTGAAGCAAAAACTCTAGTGTGGGAGCAGTTCGGAAAGGCCATGGAAGAAGACTTTCAGTTTGCCTCGAACAGATTCTGTCAAATTGTCAGGCAACTCGGGGGGTATTACCTGCCTTGTGTATCGTGCAGGTGAAGTGCTGCTCATTTCAGCTAAGGATATTGTTGAGCAGTGGAAGGAATACTTCTAGGACCTCCTTAATCCCATTGGCACGTCTTCTGTAGAGGAAGCAGAGTCTGGGGTTGAGGAGGATGACTCGTCCATCACCAGGGGTGAGGTCATTTTAATAAACATCTCCTTGGTGGCAGGCCCCCTGGGGTGGATGAGGGTTGCCCCGAGTTCCTGAAGGCTCTGGATGTTGTAGGGCTGTCTTGGTTGACACGCCTCTACGATGCTGTGTGGAGATCAGGGGCAGTACCCCTGGATTGGCAGACCGAATAAGGGAGTGGGAGATTGACGAGACACCGACAGGTCAGCAGATCTTCCTTGACCTCCAAGTACTTACTAACATGGATGTGTAAATAAAAGAGTTTAAAACTAATTGATTGTGTTTGCTGTGTTTGCTAACAGCTGCATGACTCTCACATTTACTAAACACAAACCAAATAAAGTGTTATCAAAACTAAATAAATAAATTTTTTTTAAAAATGGGGTGAGATTTCCCCTATGGAGGTGTGGGAAGATCTGATCGCCTGTTGGCGATTAGTTGAGTTTTAATTTTTTATTCTTTTATTTTGACCTGAGCACTTGTGGCCATTTCCCTTGATAAGTGCATCAAAACAGGGATTATAAGTCTGCATCCTCTCTATATGCTATCATGTGGGATGTTTACCAGGCCTTAACATACAATGGAAAGCAGAGGAGAAGCACATATGTAACACTAGGAGATCATAAAGAGAATAAGGGTCCAGTCGGCCGCTCGGACCGTGCACCTGAGCTCCAAATGGAGATAACTGAGCCATAATTTCTTAATACCTAACCAGCCTGTGCTAGGGGTCTGTTATGCTGGACCCCTCCTGATTTTGATCTGAAATGAACTTTAATAGAGAATGTGTTTCGTTGATCTTTGACCTTGCCACATATAGTATAGATGCTGTGTATCTTATATGGTGACATTATTGAATGGACATGATTTACTATGTTAAACCCATTGAAGCAGGGCAATCAGGTCCTGAAAACCTGACCTGGGCATAAGGCCCTGACCTTAACCTTGAGAGGGCCGAGATATTAATCCTGACCCAGGATCAGTAGCCCTAAACTTAACCCGTGAGGGTGGGAGCCCTAACCTTAACCATAAGAGGCATATGATATGCAACTTAAAATTAAGGCCTCTTTATTCTAAAGCTAATTTGCGGAGATAAAAGGCATGATAACCGAAATTGGATAATAAAGCCTTTAATCTTACCCTTAATAAGGACCCTTGATATAAAGTTGGCCTGAAACCTTTTTAATAGCCCCTGCAGGAAATAGTAAGTAGCCTGAATGGCCGATTCCTGAGGGTGTGGGCATTCTACCTGATGGGTTATGTCGAAATGTAAGGGATAATCATGTTAGCTCTTCACTGACTGCCAGGCAGGTCCTCAGAAGAGGGTGGAGATCCTTCCCTCCTTCTTCTTTTCTTTTTTTAGGATGATTTTAATAAAAGTTTTTATTAGAGGATTGGTTGTTTTTAAATGGTTTTTATTTTTGAGAATTTACATCTGTCCTTTTCTTATGTGTTGTGAAATGTGTTTTGTAGCCTGTGGGGAAATAGAATGTACATGATTAAGAAGGTGATTGTGAATGCACCACGGGAGGGACACTGTCATGTGACCCGTGGTGACCTATCCTGAGGAGGGCCCACACAGGTGGGCGTACCTCAGAGTATCACTTAACTACTGTTTTGTCTCTCCTGGCCTCTCTTGCGCCGATCCCTCTGAAGAAGCGA